TTGGGCCCTGAACAGTGCTAATTTTACACTGTTTCCAATGGGGCTTGAATTAGTGGACTGTACCCTTATGCACCCATCCGAACTCTATTTTGCGCTCTGTCTTAACGCATTGGCTGAGTTCGGGCGGCTTGTTCTCGTTTGTTCACGAACAGCTCGATTTGTTGTTCGTGGGTCGGTCGCTCATACCCCGGGAATGTACACCCGGTTATTAGCGCTAGTAGTTATTTGTGCCAAGCAACATGCAAGATTAAGATGGCAGCGTCCTTGAGCATTCTTCGGGAGTTAATATTGGATAACTGGGATAATTTCTTTTCCATTTTAAAAATTCATTTCTGTCATGGAAATTTATTAATGTTAATTTTGCAAAACTTTCCATTGTCTTCGGCTTTGTAAAGCCATATCGGTACTTTCTGCGGCTGTTCAAAAATCAAATCTCACGAGTTTTTCCGTGTGTTCGTGTAAAATCCTGACAAGGAGGTGGTGCGTGAACCTGTTCCGAGAACAGTGTTCTTGGGTCGTGTTCCCGCCGTTCAAGCGCGAGAACACGAAACCCCTATCAAGAACGGACCGGCGAACTCGACCATTCTGATTCTCTCGCAGCTTTTGAGACTTGTTTGTGTCGTTTTCTTCCTCTTCTTTAGTGTCTGACAATTTTCCAGATGCGAGTTGAAGTTTCTCACGGATACTCTCGTAACAGCTACACTTCTTTGCGCTCTTTTAGCATGTTTGGACTTGCGGCAAAATCGAAAAGTGGGGACTGGTCACCAAGTTGAAGAAAGCTCTCCGGGGTTTTATTATCAGGGCCGAGATTAAGTGCAACATCGAAGTCGATCTGTACATGGGAAGCCAACAATAAAAGAGGTTATTATAGTCAGCTTACGCACCGGGAAAATGACATTGTAAAAAAAATGGAGCTTTCACTTGATAAAGAATTCCCTTCTATAATATGTTTCTCCGTGTGAATTGTGCAACTGCGTCCTTTTAAAACAGGTTCAGAATTATGCGTAATAACAAAATGCTCCTCGGTGCTCAGCCCAACCTGGCTGTATAGATTACACTACTTCGCTTGTGGTCTTTAACGTTCTCAGAAACTGAGAATGAACCGCAGAGGCCAACATTCGTGCTACGTCGAGGCCATACAACAGTACAGCTACTGTGTTTGCCTCACCATTAAAGAGGGTGGATCCTATACTTTGGTATTGAGGCCCCTCAAAAAATGTGTGATTGTTATCTGAAAGCCCAACTCATGTAAAAGAACGTAACAGCAGAAATCGTCATGTGAAATTATTTTGTCTCATATACCACCATTGATCAGAATTCAATGAAAATGTGCCCAAAAATTTGAATATCCACAAGTTCAAGTTGCCACCACTTTTGGAGATTTCAATTTAGACAATTTCAATACTGCCCTCTTATGCTAAGAATCTGCTACTGCAATGCCAGCATCTGGAGCTGATTTACAGAAGGATAGGTACAGTGTAGATCATAGCCAGAAGGCATTGACCCCTCTGTGATAATGAGGGGGAGGGTTATTCACATTACCACTATTGTGCTTTATCTTTGAGGTGATCCTGAATGTATTTAAAAATTTGGACGAAAACACTGAGACCATTTTGCTGTTTTCTCTACAAGTAGGCACCTTTATGGCACTGAAACTTTTACAGGTGACTTTTATTGTGTCTTTCTTGATATTCTGCCTTCAAATCAGCTTTCCTGAGCAAAAATGAATATATTATCCAGCCTGTACATGCACTGCTTCTCCGATAACCAACAAAAACCGAATCTAATACTCTAGAAGGCTAAATAGGCGCACAGGCTCCGGAACAAGACGTTATATGGAGTCATATGGAAAAGGAGCCTGAATTCCGACTGAAAAGAGCTGACAGTAACCCCTTCTGGTGGAATCTCGCGTGAAATGTCAAACAAATGGAGTGAAAAAAGTTTCAATATAATTCATCCAGTCCGTAAGTTCAATCTCCATGATCGGAGCTAGGGACTGAGATTTAACTGGAGTAGAGCCTACCATGGTGAAAGGACACAAGGGCCTACAGTGAATTTTCACTTTTTTGAATGTAGTGATACATGTACATATACATGTACAAACATACTACAGGTAGAATGGGTCTTACCTTTTCGGCTTTCATCCTTGACAAAGTTCCCCTCCTTCCTCCATGGTTGCATCTTCTACACCTCTCCCACTCAACTTCTGCGTGTTCCGTGGATTTATCCAAATTTGAAGCCATCGACTGCAGTTGACAGGACGAGTGATTGTGTTGTGCGGCTATCGAAACATATGACTTGAATGCAGTCATGTGTTGTGGTGGGTACGCCGTTCACTCTGGCAATGCAACACGCAGATAACTATGTCGTACGTACGAAATAGTAAATCGTACGTGCGGATTGGTAATCCGTACGTACGAAATAGTAGTTTTTTAACCATGTCCTAAATACACGTCCGTACTATTGCGCATGCGTGGAAACGCAAACTAAATGCATGCACAGTCTACAGGTTGCACTGCACCATATACGCGCCCATAGAAAACAGTGGAAAATCGGACCGAAATAGCATCGCCTGTTGACTCTCATGAAGAGACTGGCCTCTGTTTGTTTCACTGGAAAATCAAGACTATGCCAGAAGATCACTTTTCGTTTCAATTTCATGGGGGTTAGCCACGATTTTTTTTCTATTCCCTTTTGAACGAAGATACCCCAAAATAATAGTAAAACTAGGCGCTCGTTTCTGAATGTAGCCGCCCGCCTCTATCCAAAATAAGTCCGCGATTTGGGCCTTTTTGTGAAAGAAATACCCTGAACTGGGAAATATCAGTCCTAAATTCGGGATTGATAGAAATATTTCTATGATGCCTCCTAATTATGGCCTGTGTTATTGTATAAATCCTGCGGGGTCACAAAATATTAATGAGCTCGCACGCAGAATTAGAAATACAGCGATTTGGTGGAATGCACCCTATGGGGACCAAACATACGTGATGGTGGGAACCAATATGGCACGGCAGGATCGTACCCATGGGCCGAGGTTGGAGTATAAGCGTGACTTTGAAAAGTATCCGGTTCGTAAATGACTTTGTCACAAAGGGCGGACGCGCCACGATTTGCAGGCTTCCATAGGGTCGCTGAAGTTGCACCTTAACTTTCGTCCATGGTTCCATGTAAACGGCGATTAACGCATGTAACTCATTATAGGCCTAATGGAGATCAATAATGCAACTTTATGCGTAGTGCATCTGCAGTGCGCGTCGTTTAAACAAAAGTGACGTCACATTTACGAACCGGATGGGTAAACACCGTTGATCTCCATTATAATGGAGATTATAATGATCTCCATTATAATGGAGATCAATGGTTAACACAATCTCGACTCCATAGGTTGCGTGCACGCTCCTTCCCCAGTCACTAGCAAAGATTGTATAGCGCCGCGCAGCGGCGCTGCTGCGCGGCGCTATACAATCTTTGGTCACTAGCCCCTGGTCGTGTAGAATTCGAAAATGACGCTGACTGGTTATTCAGAATACTTAACGTCAAGTCAATCGCACGCGTATTTCAAAAGCTACATGCTCATGGCCTTATATTCTCCTGCACGTCATGCACGCGTAAATCTGCGTCGCGGGTAAACCAGCTAAACGCACAGATAAACGCATAGACCGCCGGTCTTACGCGTAAAACCGTAAAGTATGGGCAAACAATGAGCGAAGCGACGGATGGCAGCGTGTCCAGTGTGCATTACGCTCAACGCATTTACATTGCTAGTATTTGATTACATGAGTTTCCAAAATACGTTCACCTTTTTTGCTCTTCGGTACTGCCATCTATTCTTTTCAAATGTTGCAACCGCATTGTTTCGAATCCCTATGGGCCAGATTAAGTAAAGAAAGGGTGTTTTTTACAATCAAAGTATGGCTTCATAGAATTTTATGGCTGGAATTCTTGAACTGTGCGTAAATTCCCTATACCGAGGGGTAAATTTGCCCACAGTTTTGATTTTAGTCGGGCGCCGTGCAGATCACGAAATACTCCTGTAGTTTCATAAAGGATCTGGTGGTCTATGTGTTTATATGTCTGTGGCGAGTTTGTACCAAATGACTTACAATTTCATTTAAAAACACGCCCTCCTTGGTTCCTTCTCAGAGCAGATAGGCCAATGGACTTTACCCACAAAAAACAGAACCTGTAATTTGTTGTCGTCTCTGATCGTAGGTCAGGTACCCCCCCCTGCATTATACAAAACAGTAGCGATCAACGCCAGACATTGATTTTTTAACATTTTTTTATTTAATTCAAAGGATTAAAACAGGTGTTTGGACTGTATTTCGTCAAACAAATGTACACACACAGCATCTATAAATTGCTAGGGGGCTGTAACGATTGCCGTTCCACTTCAGCTACTGACAACTGCTTCTATGAGACTATAGCTAGGACTAAATAATGAAGTCCGTAAATTGGGCCAAAATATAGGTTTCCCCGGCCAATTCTGGAAAATGCGATATGCACAATCTAATTTGTAAAATGAAATTTCAATTTAGCGTAGATTTTGAAAACGACTAAAAACCTGGTTTGATTTTCGCAATAACAAGCATTCTTCTTCCTTTGCATCCTTCAAATAAATAAATGTGCATAACGTTTCATTAAAGAGGTTACAAATACGTGACTGGGATTTCGGATTGAATTATTCCTTGCTAATTACAACAAAATGTGAATTCTTATTCGCTGAAGATCTGTCTTTTACCCCGTTTCTTTGGAATTGAGTATTTATTTCCGTTTGCTATAATTTAAAATCGTAAAGCATACGTTCCATTTGATTAGAATATTAGAATAGGATTAGAATAGAATAGATAGGATAGAATTAGAATACAAGGTTACACAAATCATGACCCCACTTTTATTTATAGTGTGTTTGTTATCAAACTATAAAAATAATTAAGGTTTCTATGATTGAAACGCAGTACAAAAAGGAATGTTCCCTTAGCGCCGGTCGGTAGTTTCCATTGACAGCATGAATGGTTTATTTCAATCATGAACATTCAAACATTTAACCAATCAACTAAACACCTCTAAGAATGTAACCTCTGTTATATACAAACAAATTCTAGTTCTTGATCAGGTACACCTTAAATAACACACAGGCGAAATGGCTTGCATATTTTCCGAATTAGCTTGAGTTCAAATTAAGATAAATGCGGGATTGCAGAGGTGCATTCAATTTCGTGCAAAAATGAATGTCAACATTCTAAACCTGTGCAATATCAGGAAATTGAAGCTGACTCTATATGACTGAATGAACCCTGATTGAGACTGGTATTTGTTAAATAGAAACGGGTATTTGAATGTTGGTTCTATTTTGCTCCAAAACGAATGCTGCTATTACTGATTCATTTACAAATTTTCCGAAATTACCTAAAACCTATATTACCTGAAATTATAAGTTTCCTTGAAGGATCCATGCAATGGATTATACTGACACTCACATCTTTATATTGTTCTTCAATGTATAAAAAATGGTTGAAATCCTTTTGGAGTTAAATGTTCTGAAGTGTGCAGTTTTAACATTAAAAACTGTTCAAGCTTTTCCGGACAAGTACTAGTGCTGTTGTGTTGTAAATTAGGGAAAGTGTTCAGTTTTCACGTTACATGTTTCCACGTTTATATTCGGAACCTCAAAGTTGCTTTCTGAAACCACTTCTGAGAAAAGGATTCTCATGATTATGCATTAGCATAAAAGCCAAAAAGGCTCCAAGGTACAGATTTAATAGCACTGTTTAGAGGCGCGCTCTTGTGAATCGCCCGTATTTATTCTTAAATGGCCAATAAAAGCATTACATGTAGTTTTCAATATTTTCCAGAAAATGCCCGAACGTACCCCTCACGGACAATATATAACAACACGCTCTTTTGCTGAAAGCTGATCCGGTCCTGATTCAAAGTCACGGAAAGACTTTGTCCATGCATGATCGAATTTTTCCGTTTCACCGTGACTGTGAGGACAAATTGTCGCGTAAGACATCACATGCCACATCGTCAGCAATTTCATAACTTTGACTCTCAAAAATACGACTAATACATACGATGAACAAAATTAATCTTCAAAAAATCTCTAGATTTATGTTTTCTATATACATGTACATGTGTAAGTCCTTTGGAATTGATAACATGGAAAATAAACTTGAATGACAAGAAAAGATGCACTTCCCTGTCTCAGATGTCAGCTCATCGTATTGGACCATTAAGGATCTGTTCGAAACAAGCAAAAGTTTTCTTATGAGCATACGATTTAACTGGAGACAACAAGACAAATGCAAAATAATAAGGGAGTGAAATTGTGCTTGACCGGTTTTAAAAGTTCGTTAAAAACTGGCTCAGGAGAATAGTCACAAATTAAATGACCAGAGCCGAATGGACGTTGAAGGGTGGATATAGCCCAATCCCTTATGAGTCAGTCTTTAATGTCCAGGCACATATTTATTCTTTTTTTTATAAAAAACTTCGTAATTTCATCCGTATACAGAGCTGGGTATTATCATAAACTATTTCATCTTATAAACAAATAAATATTTATTTTGTAAGGTTCAATGATATTAATATAAAGTCCTTTATTGCATTGAGCCGCTTTTAAATGTCCAGGCACATATGGATTCCTTTCTCTTAAAAACCTTTTGAGTCCAAAAGCCAAAACAAAATTAAAAGTTATAAATTTGAAACGATTTGTTCATTATTTATGTTTTTTGCCAAACACCCCCTTGCCATGTTATCATTTGTGCCTCTCGTGAGTAGTTGCAAACAGTCTCCTTATTTGAAGATTAGCGCACGCGTAGTGCGTTTTCCATGAGGTATACCACAGACATATAAACGTTTGGGTAGCACAGAACTGGACTGGTCCCCGTCCCTATGGCTGCACTGCACCAAATACGCGCTCCCACAAACAGTGCAAAATCGGATGAAATAGCGCCGCCTGTTGACTCTCAGGAAGAGGTTGGCCTCCAGTTTTCCACTGGAAATTCTAGATTATGGCCAGAAGTTCATTTTTCGTTTCAATTTATCGGGGTTAGCCACGCGATTTTTTTAAATTCACCTTTCCCCAAAGACACCCCCAAAATAGTAATAAAACTATGCGCTCAGCTCTGAATGCAGCCGCCCACCTCTATCTAAAATAGACCCACAGTTTAGGAGTTTTTGTGAAAGAAATACCCTGAACTGGAGACTACCAGTCCCAAATTCGGGATAGAACTATTTCTATGATCCCTCCTGATTATGGCACGTCTTATTGTTAAAAAAAGAAAAACAAAACCTGTGGGATCACAAAATATTAATCAGATGGCGCACAAAAATCCAATGATTTGACGGACAGCACCCCTATCCAGCTTGAGCAGGGGCACCCCCTCATCGGTTGAAAAGAGCTACTTTGGCCGGGAGTGGTCATTTTGCTGGTAGCCACGCGCCCGTAGCGCGTGTATTTTATAGTCGTCTGTGAACCAGCGAAGTGCAGTTCTCATCAAAGGAGCTGCCGTTGCCAGGAAAAATAGGACCTCTCTTGATCCAGCTCGGGGCTCATTGACCTTTTCACTAATAAATTCATAATTATGCACACATGTACACAAATAACCTTGACGGCAAGAAGTGTGGGCGTACAGGGGTGTGATTATTTTCTCTCAGGTTTTTTGTCTTTGTTCAGCTCCTTCAGAAAATCCCATTAAATCGTTTTCGCTATTAGTTCCTAACCTAAGCGGAATTTTTAGTGCTCTGTGAAGACTTTACAATTGTGAATTTCCTGTGCGTATACGAGATTGCCGTATCTATAGCCAGTCTCCTTCGTGTTGTTTTAAGTGTTAAAGATCAGCTAGTTAGTGCTATATCAGTCTTGATTCCAGGACCTTCGTACATTGCTTTTAGTCGAAATGGATTAATTAAGACCACAGGGCGCCGTTTAATCAGGTCCTGTCACAGACATAAAAATACCCATTTTTGGCCTATGTCTGTGGGTCCTGTGTCCGCTTCTGACCTTCCATTCATGTAAGACTAAGAGCGGTTGTTAGAGATAGCGCTCTCCAACAGTGATGGTTCGTGATCGTGGAAAAAACTGCGGAGAGGTCTTGCAACCAAGACAAAAGACGATTTTATCAACCGTTCAAGACCAGTCGCTTGACAGGGTCTCAAGCAACATGATAGCTAACTTATTTATGAATGATGATTTAGCATGATATCAAGGAGCGTGAAGCCCCATGGTAGATATTTGGTGGTGCCATATTGACAAAGGTTTGAGAGGAGCCCTCCCATGCAACTCAGATCACTTCATTTTGTGCATTAATCATTTCCTGTTTTGTCAGGCAACTGGCCGCTTGGAACGGTTGCAAGATAATCAAAGGGCTCCATATTTCACCTGCGACTGAAGTGTAGCCTAAGCAGACCTGTTACCACGCATAAAAGAATCAATATAATGCAATCTTCAGATAGCATCTTTTACTAGTTATAATATTGTGTCATTGCAACATCGCCTTCTTGTCGCGTATAGCAAAGGCATTTCCTTGGAGGGAGAGCCAGAGTCATTTTGCCAACTTGTAACTTGTTTCCTAACCTTGTGTCATTTACTTGAATGGAAATTCGTGGTACGCTACATTTCATGCTTCACGAGAAATGTCAACTTCAAAAGCATATCGTGTATGTACCAGTTTTGGATTTTGGAAGCTCCATTTGCCGACTGGAATGAATTATTGGGATGCTGCTCCCCCACACCCCTGGTTGGTGCGCCCAGTGGCGTATCCCCCGACGATTTTTTCATAATGCTTCATAGGTGAGTATAGAAAGAAAGCAATCGGTACACTTGTTTAAAAAATATTAGCACCAAAACCCTTAGAAAACAACACCACAAAAGCAAACATGTCGGGACCGTAAGACTTTTGATATCTTCTCTCCCCCCACATTATTTTGAATGCGCCTAAAGCCGCATTCGCTTTGGAATTTCCCCCACCAAAAGCTAGATACGCTGCAAACGAGCTCAAGATATACGTTTCGTTCTCCCTTGTCCCAACTGATTAGGAAGTGACAAAAAGTCGAGGAATCATGTCTTCGTTAAAATGTATATTTTGCCTCGGTTTAGAATAATTATTATTCCTCACCATTAACGCAGCCGTCCTCGTCAATGCCACTGCTGCAGTCGTATGTTGAGTCGCACAAAGCTGCCATGGGATGGCACAGACCATCACACGCAAACATGTCGAAGACTTGACAGTCACTGTTGGTTCGATCTCAAACGCAAAATCACCCAAAAATGAAATTAGCAGCTTTGATACAGAAAGACCCGTATAATCTGGTATTGACATTTCCCCCCGCACGATGCTGTGTTTAGCTGCACGTATGTTGCTTTACACGTGCTGTATATTCGAGGGTGTTCACTGAAATACGGGCGATTCATAATAGAACGCCTCCAAGAGTTTGCAACGCGTTGGCCAATCACAATGCTCAAAACCTGTTGACTCAATGGGCGAGTTCGGGCGGCCTGTTCTTGACACGGGTTTCTTGTTCTCGCTCTCGAACGGCGGGAACACGACTCAAGAAGACTGTTCTCGGAACAGGATCACACACCACCTCGTCGTCAGGCTTTTACAGGAACACACGGAAAAACTCGTGAGATTTTGATTTTTGAACAGCTGCAAAAAGTAGCGAGATGGCTTCCAAAGTCACAGACAATGGGAAGTTTTGCAAAATTAACATTAATTATTTTCCGTAACACAGAAATGAATGTTCCTGTTTATAGAGATAAGAATTCAGCCCATCCAAACATCAACTCTCGAATAACGTAGCCTACATGGACGCCGCCATGTTGCATATTGCTTGTCGCTAACTACCAGCGATAACCGGTTGTTTGTTCCCGGCGTTCGAGCGGCCGACCAACGAATAACAAATCGAGCTGTTCGTGAACATATATGGGAACAAACCGCCCGAACTCGGCCAATGCGCGTTTGGAAAGGGTCGGTGGACTTTGCGCGTTGTGATTGGCCAACGCGTCGCAAACTCTTGGAGGCGCACTATTGTGAATCGCCCGTATTGTCAGAGAGCGTTTTCGAAACAAGTGGATTCGGCAATGACTTTGGGTGTCGCTGGTACTAGCCATGTTGAAGCACCGTTCGACACCACATGTTCAAGCTCTGACTGAAACCAGCGAAACTAAAGTCTAAGCCGAAGCCACTCGTTTCGAAAACGCTCAAAGATACTGGAGAGGGGTACAGAATGGACCAAAACACGTACATATCGATAGGTGCCTTCAGGGTTCAGGTCTGTGTACAACAAAATGTTGCCTATGTACTCGAAAGCAAAACAAAATTAAGGTGTACCTGATGCATAGGCTTAATCGCGTACGCTATCAATCGCGTATATATGTGCATGGGTGTTGCCAGGACTTTTACGTGGGAGGCAGGATTTTGTCCGGGGGAGAATTCAACAGTAGCAAACTGATTACCACAACCGGTGCATGAAGGGGGTCAATACAGGCGTTTTTTCGAAAGGGTCGACAGGTTTCGCACATAGTGATTGGTCAACGCGTTGCAAACGCTTGGAGACGTACTATTGTGAAACGCCCGTACTTCCAGGAATTTTCAAATAAATTGGTGATTTTCATTTTTTTGTAGCCCCTTTTTCGTTTCTCTCGCTTTTTTATGGCCACTTCAGCTTTCATTTTTCAACATTTCAATCTTCCGCAACACTCATGAGTACGCAATGATTAGCATAAATGCAAACAACAGTTACTGTGCTTGCGAAAACATAAATGAACTGTACTTACAATACTGTAAGTATACTTTTATAAATAGAAAAAAACTCTCGGGGGGAGAAACTTAATCTTCCTTGTAAATATTTTTCATTTATTGTGAGGTGTATGAATAGTTCATAGCGTGCAAGTGGTATGACTTGTGTAAAACTCTCAGTATGAATTTAATGTATCGTCTGAAATATCACATGCCAATTTACTTACCACAGTCCACCTCATCGGACATGTCGTGACAACTATGCACACCATTACAGAATAGTTCTTCTTTCACGCATTGTAAGCCATCTTTGCACTTGCGATAGCCAGGAGAACAAGGCATCTGACACCTGAGGGAGACAGCAATTATTTTTGTAAGGAAAATACAACGCTTGCTTATTTCCCAGCTTAGCTAACTTACTAACTAACTAACTAACTCACTCACTTACTCATTTTACTGTAAATTCAAAGGTGGCGCGTTCGTGTGTATAGGTTCCTATAGTCTTGATTTCAAGACGTTGGTGCTTGATAACGCACACCGTGCATAGTGCGCCCCCTAACGACTCATAATTAAAGTGTGCACCAGTGAGAGTAAGTAAAAACTAGTTGTGCGAGGGCGCTCTTCAACAGAAATAAAGCAACTATCGATCACTGACGTCTTGGGCGAAGACTAAGGTTCCTATCACACGAGTGCAAGTGGGACACAGAATAATGTAGCGCGTCTGTGTCCCGTTACTTACTCCCTTATCCACCCTGTGTTGAAGTGCACCCTCACTTGCCAAAAAAGAAAGGCTGATGAGCAGTTTTCCAACCGGGTTCCTGTATCATGCGTTCGGCGCACACGCAAAGACTTTTAAGCCTGGTTTCCGTATGGTCGTTCGTAACGCCAGACGTGAAGACCAGCCACGAACGAAAGAGACGGTGCGTGACGTCATTCCACCCCAAAATTGAAACAAAACGGCATCTGAATCTCCGTGATTTTTCGCGTACCTCATCATGATGCCAAACCTCTACTCCAGTTTCATGCATTTCATTGACCGTCAGCTGTTAAGTTAATTACTGGGGAGTAATTTTTAAGAATTACGGAGAAAATGGTCAAAATTCATGGAACTATAAAGTGAGAGGGAAATCGTTGCGCGCCGGTCATGCCAGCATTCGTGTTTGCATGGGGATACCACGGCTATTCGACGCAGACAGTCGGCAAAGTTGAACCGCGGATCATCTACCCAGGGATGTGCAACTGTGAGCGGCCCCAGTGCAAACACATGTGCGACCTTGGTTCCATGCGTGTTACGGATTGTTATTACCCCCGCAGGCGCTTTTCTCGAGAAAACTCGCGACCACATGATGAGCTAGACGATGCGCGGTGCTTAAATCTATTTAATGAGGCAAAATTCCCCAATTTTGAGGTACACTTTCCTCAGAATGTACAGGATGAAATATCTTGAGCAGCATATTTTTTAAGAAAGGGTGTACCCTGACTTAAAATATTACAAGAAAACGAAACGTTTGGTTTGCGTTCAGTGACTCCGTTGTCGGTGATATTTCCTATTGATATGTCTCAATGTCCGCGTTGCAGTTTGCGTCTTGATTGCGTTCCTCTTTGCGTCTCTTACGTCGATATGGAAACCAGGCTTTACATTCCAGTGTAAATTCGTTGCGTGTATTCAGCGCGCCTTGCGCCAAACGCGCATAACTTGGCCCGCCTACGCGGCGGGTTCGTACCAAAGAACCGTCATTGAAAAACACGCACCCTTTTGCTCCCGCTTGGAGCGGATATCACGACGCCGAAGGCCGTGTGGTATACGGGATAAAGACGCACTACATCATTCTGTATGTTATTGCCATAAAACCATATGTAACAACTAGAGCGCTAACTTTTAATTCTCTGCGCGGAAAAAAATTGACGCCGTCCTGGGCGGAGACATTTTGAATCCATGTGTGTGCTTGTAGAACATTCGAAATCGGATAAAATGAATATCGAATTATGCATTCTAAATGCCACGCGCAAGTAGGCCTGCAACACACATGAGCGTCAGTGCGTCTTTTGAATTAAGACGCACAGGTGCATAGCAATGGCACATGTTATTTACACCCACAGCTGATTAGTTTGAAACGAATGATTCCCTAACGTGAGGGCAAGGTCGTCTAATTTCGTATGCATGTCTTTCGGTGGCTGTCTTTCGAAGACTGAAAAGTCGTTTCCTTAACTTAGTCAGTGTTTAGTGAATTGACGGCTCTGTAGCCTGTTGTACGCATTGGGTACCAATAAAATCCGATTAACACGTCAAGGCAAAATTCATATGCAGCACACGCATTTGTATTTTTTGGCGCAGAGCAAAATGAAACGCTCATTTGCTGATCGTGCGCAGGTTGTTTGCGTATAGGCTTTGTTGACTATCGTTTTAGAATACAGACGCAGATATGCAAATAGCCGTACAAAAGCGCTACAAGATTTTGATTTTTCCTCATAGAGCTATATATAAAAAACTAGAGGGCTAACTTCTCATTCTCTGCGTGGAGAAAATTTGATGCCGTCCTGGGCGCCGCAGGCATTGTAAATCCATGTGCGTGCTTGCAGAACATTCAAAATCAGAATGGATACCGAATTATGTACTCTAAAAATGCAACATTCAGGTTTATACGCGAATGTCACCGCGTCTTTTACGAGAGCAATGGCACATGGTCATTTACATCCGTAGCTGATTATTTTCAAAACGAATGTTTCCTTAACATTCAAACGGGTCGTCCGATTTTGTATCCACGTCTTTCGATGGCTATTTTTCGATGAATAAGTTAAAAAGCTAAATTAAAAAGTTGTTCGCTTAACGCAGTAAGTGTTAAGCGAGTTGACAGCTCTGGAACAGCAGCTATCGCGCGCATCAGGTAACTAAAACCCTCGCGCAGCCCGCAAATAGGGATTTCACATTGGATCGCCTTATCACATTCTTTAAATTTTGGAAGAATAATTTCCAACTGAAACCATCTCAAGAAACAGTCATCTTTGAATATTATTTGTGTGTTCTGTTAGTAAAATGTAAAGAAGTCAGTTGGACTTGGTTAAAAAAATCATTCACAACCTTTCACATCGGACATTGTCGTAGACAATAGGTCTTCTGATTTTTGCACGTTTGTTTCACATCATGCCCTCACGTGAGAACGAGAGTGTGTCACGTTCCGAAGATTTACCTACAGCCGATGGGGTCTAGATTTAGTCGGGTTGGCCTGGGAGTAGCTCTTATCAGCAAAACGTTGATGATGCGTTAGATTCTTTTCATGAATTTCGTAAAAAAAAAAACCTGTTAATCAGAGTGCTCGCCTTATGTTTCAGTTTTGATTTTAAGATAAAGACCAAAACAAAATTATTTGTAACTTTTCATCTATACACTGAGTTGCACTCGTTATGTACTTCAGATTTTCGGAAGCGAGAGGTTGCGTTTTGGTAGGACCTTTATCTTCCACGTCAGGCAGTTTATCGGTTTTCCTAAATTAATATAAATACTAAATACGTAGGGCCTATAAAACCATTTTACGAAGGTGATTCTCTTGAAAAATATATAAACTATAATGGTTGCAATTCTAATTTTTTTGCAAGTTTATTTCCTATTCAAGGCTTCGGGAAGCGCGGCATCAGGGGTCAAAAGGCTCTATTACAAGTTCAGTTTAAAACACCAACGATGGCCATCAACGAAGACTCAGTATTGTAAGTCAGATTTGTAACATTCCAATTCGTCTTATAACTGTAAGTGGTAAATTTGCTTTCGCTGCACAACGTTAATCACCACAGTTGACAAATTTTACAAAATCAAGACGAAATAGAAACAAATCTGAATTGTACTACTTCTTTGTCTGAAGTTTCAGTAGCCGGTTGATCGGTTAGTCGGACTAAAGTGAGACTTATGCCTGCAAATAATATGCCATCAGAATAATTTTACGATGTGACAGATCGAATATACACGGGTTTCGGAAAATGATATGCCGCCACTGCTCTCCCAAGACTCGAATTACGCCTTAAATTCTACATGGCGGAAGTGGGTATACCTTTGTTTGATCTCATCTGAGCCATCTGCACAATCCTTCACGCTGTCACATAAATCCTCCACTGTCAGATGATGCTTTTTACCGTTGCAATCCTCGCAGGTCCCTGGAATGGCAAAGTATACTCGTGCGTTAGTTTCGAATAGAGCTGTGTAGTATTCTCAACTGAAGAAGCTGTTAATCGGCCTGAGTATCCCCACATTTAAAAAATATGCCTTTTCATTGAAAATCATTCCTAGGTAAAGAAAACCATCCCCCAGTGTCGATGAGGATTAATAATGTACATGTGAACAAGAGGAACAAAATTAAAATACAAGTAATTGCATTTGAATTCGTGGGCAACGCGGGGTAGGAGGGGAAAGAGAGAAGCGAAAGGAATGAAAAAAAGATATGAAATGGGATGAAAATCATCAGTTTGTCTGAAAATATCTCGAAAGTGACTTGGTTCCATTCATAGTGTATCCTCCTGGTGTCTAAAATCGTGTTTAGTGGATACACTTGGTGATTGCATCGTGGCGCTGGTCGATGGTGACCTGTTGGCTCGCACTCTGACTTTTCCTTCTTTTTATTCTATTCTGTTCTTTTTATTCTTAACAGTAACGTGTTGGCAGTAAATCAGTATGGTAGACATTCGAAAATTGTTAAGTAAGTTTATTGTTTTTATGTGTATATCTGTGATTTTAAAAGTACATGTATTTGTTATTTAATTATTTTATGCGAGTCTAACAAGATGAATTCCAACGACTGTGTTTATGATCCTTGTCGGATAAAATCAAACCGTATTTAATAAACAAAACTGAACGCCAGAACATCAATAAGTCATCCAAAGACCTGAAGCAGTCTGAGCAAAACTGCCTAAATGCGTACTTCATAAAAAAGAATTTGAATATTTTTCTGATGAATTGAGTTTGGAAAACTTGTAGTATTAGTACTCACAACAGTCTTTTTCGTCTTCCCCATTTGAGCAATCGTAAATTCCATCACACCTGTTCGCTTGGCTGATACACTGGGCACTGGAACCACATTTAAAAAACTCTGCAACGCATTTTCTTGATGACACTGTTAATGAATAAAATAAAAGGATCAGTCCCATGACCTGAAGAAAACAACTAAACATCCTTTTTAGACTACCACCTGCTGTAATGCCCTCAGCCCCCCCAACCTTGTTCCGCATCAGATCTGATCACTCTGAAAGACAAGGTAAAGGTTTGTGTCCAGCACTGGATTGGAGTTCATGTAGTATAGGGACTCGAGAATAATTAAGAAGGCTAGATGGCATGGTGGAAAATGTAGTAGTTTTCTAATCTACTCACCACATAAGAAAGGGTCTTCGTCTGATCCATCTTCACAGTCTTGGACTAAATCACACACGTTTTCGATACGTAGACACTGTGACCCACTTCTACAGGTAAACTGATTGCCAAGGCACCCAATGTCCTGCCTGTTTGGATTCACGGTCCTCACCGATGATATTAGAGGAGGTATGTCATATCCTCGAGAGAGACTGACCTCTACTGAATCCGGATTTGTAGCTGGTGGTAAAATAGTGGGAAATGCTGGCTACAATATTGTCAGTGTTGTCAATGAAATCAGTGAAAAGAAAGAGCGTCTTTAACGAGTCAAATCATGTTACTCGTGATTTGTTGTGATTCTTTTAAAGGATCCATCATTTACAAAAAAGGAGGACTGCAATGAAGGTAAAACCCGACAATACGAGCGGGGCGTATATTTGGACACTTGGTTTCATTTTCTTAATCAAGCAGTTGAGAGGAAACAGGATAAAGACAAGGCTCCACCCTTCCAATCCCCAAAATTGGCAGGGGCGCCCACTCATGGATCCGCTTGTGTTGCCCATGTAGTTTTATGCGCTGCGTATTGAAAACATAAACCTTACGGATTGTTCGGTCTCTTATGAGGGATAATGAACATCGTTGATGTTGCTTTAAGGTCAAGACATTTCTAAGAAGGATGACATTGAGATAAGGTCGTTTGCTGGAATGAATATTTTTGTGCATACCTGTGGTTAATTCGAGTGACGCATCATTTTCCACTTGGTTGCTATCTACTGATGTGATACTACCGACCACAAGACTCAATCCCTCTAGCTCCAACTCCAACCTCTCATCCACTGACAGATCCGTATTTGTCTTCTTTTCTTGTACTTTGGCAATTTCGGCTATGCCCAACTCACTCATAACCTCAGCATTTTGTTGTTCTTTAGTTTGTTCCGTTGAAAAGGCTTTTTCTTTCCGGGTCTTGCTACCAGGCTGCGGCACACCGCTAAGCGTAATATCCTCATAGACTGAACCGTCATCAGCTCTGGTTAAAGCGGAAAAATATCCTGACCCACTTATCACGACATCCGAGGAACCTTTACCCAAAAGAGAATGTTTGGGAATATTCAGACTATCCCCAGGGTGTCTCAGTTCGGAAAAATCCATATTGTTGTTGGTTTCAAGCGATGGATAGTCGTCTAAGCAGCCGTCTCCACTGGCAGACTTCCCAGAGCCGCTGCTTTCATCGGTTATGTCAAAATCGTTAAGCAACTGTGCGTCCATATTTTCACCTTCGTGTTGAAGCTGCCCCGATAGATCCTCTTCAGTTGTACTGACCGTGGGAGGGGACAAAACAGTGTCAGTGTGAGACAGCTTCGGCTTCTTTTGGAAACGCTTTCCAGAAGACTTCTCAAGAGTTATGAGTTCGTTTTCTAAGTCCACTGAATCCGAAGCCTCAGATGAACTGAGCTTCTGAAGCTGGAGTGACAACGAGTGGTACTGTAGCTCCAGATCCAAGTCCTTATCTGGCCTGTCATCAGTTTCCAGCTCCTGTCCTGTCAGCGTTTCTCCTATGTCGGTGTCGTCAAATAATCCTGGAAACCTCTTGACTTCACTGGCTTCATCGAGGTCATTTTCTCCACTGCCATGCTGCTCGGAATTGGAGGCAATGATGCCCTGCCTAACGTGCATTTTGTGGATCTCTAATCCGATGTCGACGCTCGAGCGTCCCTGTTGCTGGTTCACACTGTTATAAGTGGACAACTTTTGCAGATGTAAGGGTGACGCGGCAGCAATATTCGCGACGACAATGAGTACAAGTACCACAATCGCCCCGTGCAATCCCATGGCGTCTTTCCTGCGTCCGATTTTAGACGCTTATTTCAACATACACTTGTGTTCTTATTTTAGTCAATAACTTGGATATGTTTTGTTTTTGATCATAATGATCCAAACACTGACACTACAAGAGAAAGTCTAACTGTGAACACAGAGGCACACGTTCACAATAGTTACTGTATTTAGCAGATGTCTATACGGCAACTCGGTCTCTCAGCTACATTGATCGTTAGCACAGAAAGTCACTTTGCTTAATCCGTCTTCAAACAAAGATGGGCTCTCAATGGACAGTACAACAAAGGCGCAACTTAGAAACCTGTTATCTATGGAAATGAATAATTGATTCCATTACACATCAAATTTAAACACAAGAAACACCTCGATGGAATGCGTGTGCAGGGAAGGTCAAAACTTGAAAGCACTGCACCCAATAATGACTCCAGTTGGTCTATATTGCATGTTTGTTCCTTTGCTATGAGTTGATTCATCCTTGTTGTCCCTTGGAGGATGTGGGTGGGTGTACGGAAGGGAAAGAATGGTCCACAGTCACATAACATAGTTTTACGTGGTGGTCTAAATATAAAAATCGCATGCATGCAATTTTTGACTGATTAGACTACTTCTCTACCGTACGTTCATAAAATACATATATGTCATTTGAAAGTGATTTCGTCTCCAAACATTGACCGTGCATTCTAAGGTTTCTAATTTCAAAGTACAGGTATCATTCGACGGAATTTGTGTATTGCTTTATACGACAGGTGCAAATAATGTGCGTAAAATGACCGCCCTCTGGCAGCAGCTGCCTATCTGTAAATCTCATCTGAAGTGTTATCTTTAGAAAGTAAAGAAAATCAATGTCATGCTCTATCACTTAAGATATTTTACACATAAGAGGCTAATTGGTGTTTGCAATATAGGCCAAGCCAATAAAATCAACCAACGTACGATGGACATTTATATAATGGGTTTTTGCCCTTACCCAACGTATATATTAATAAACACTGTATGCGCAGTGCTTGTCCGAGAGCTTGCGAAAAAAGTCACAAGCTTACTCCGGTGGGTACAATGGACACTTTACTACGTCATTAAAACATCGCAAGTAAAGTCAGCGGTACAGCCCTAGACAACGAGACATAGCGTAATACTACAAGAGATCGATAAAATCAATCAGAAAGCCAGACCCGCAGCATGAAAAATGCATCACGTCACTTGAATGGCAGCAAAGATAGGAAAACAAAACATTTGGGACATTTCTACTGGATACATGGAAACCAGATAGAATCTCAGGACAAATCCAAGCAATTTTCTCACTATAGTAAAAACAGGTGTCATGATGAGAGAAAACTTTCTGTTTTTAATTAGTTTCTTCAGGAGAGATGGCTCAACATGAAAATTGCAACGCTGGTACCAAACCTACCAGTAAATACCCCCACGGAGGCAGCCTACAGAGACGATAAAGACGGTGGTATAGATTACTGGCTTGAAGTTGCGTAACTACAGTCTCGTTTGTTAAGGAGTAACTTGGAGGACCATTTTCGGACTCAATGGGTTTACGGTGAATAACGGAAAGCTCTTTTTGTTCGAAATCTGCATTTTCAGCAACATTAGCCAGGAAGGGATGTCAAGTAGTTTTCTGCAATTCAGAAGAAAGTTTCATGAAATGAAGATCCTTTACTTTTAGCATAATTATTGATGTAAAGGGGATCCATGGGCCAAGTAGGGAGTTCCCTTATAACAGCACTCCAAATGATGTCCAATATCTTTCCACTTTCCGATTTTTCTAAAGCTGAGTAGACCTATCCGCTTTGCCTGACTTCAGAAAAAATAGAGACTGCAATAATTATTTATGTATGGTCCCCCCAAAATAAAGGTTAAGCAGACTGCTTCAGATAACAATTAGTGGGGGACACGTTTATCTAAGTAACCGATACGACTTTAATTAATATATTTGAATGAATTACAAGGTTTACCAATAAATGTGGAAAATAAGGAGATGAGTCAATAATGCTAAAAAAAAACTGGAGGTAAGGGCACCCTGTACTCAAACCATGCTTCCCTTGTCCAATCTACCCAACGCTTGACTTCAAAGTACCTCAACCAAACGACCCACACTTTGTAGGGCATCAGACACTGCCTGGTAGATTTTTCTTTCTTCCCAATAACGCCCCGCCCCCAAAGAAGGAAGAACAGAACAATACCGAGAAAGAAGGGGCGAAAAGGATCCCGATAAATTGCACTTGCGCAAATAACTCCGAAAATAATGTTAAACTTTTGCCAATCACATCTAACATTCCCCCACCCCAACGCCAAGCAGACTGCCGCATACCTGTACATGTATATGTATTTTAATTGATGGATTTCAGTGCTTTTTGTTAACTCGCAGAAGGCTTCACCAGTGACGAGGACAGCAGCGACAGTGGACAGCAGTGACAGCAGTGAAGACTCCTGCGATGAATCCATCTAAAGCTGGTAAGATTTGGCAAATTTGTCTGTCTGTCGGGCTGGCTGTCTCTCTGTCGATCGGTTGATCGGACTGTTTGTAGGGCGGGCTTTCTGTCCGTCTATTGAGCTGTCATTTAATTTCTTATGTCCTCTGCTTGCCTACACATTAATAGGACAGCTTGCTGGCGCCATACAATGCAGAAAGCAGGCATCTCCGCCATCGAGACGAGTGAAGCGTCTAATGGAATCGAAAGTATACTTTCTGTACATCTGTACTGTATGGCTGTGAGGGTCTGAGCGTGAAAGTTGGCGTTCACTGTCTGAATGGGAGACTTTGAGGCGCTTGGTGGTGACCAACATTCCGGTCCTTTTTACTAGTTCTGAGCATGCGCGCATTGGTCTATGCGTGCGTGCACAGCTCTGAGCACGTGCAATACCCTGAGGGTGCACCACTACAAATAAATTCCCATAGACAGCAATGATAAATCCCCATACTTCACAAAATATTTAAAAAATACAACTCTCACAGGTGTTCAGGCTGCACAGAAAATGATGTTTCACATGCCCCCTTTCATTTTCCTTTCAATTTTCGGAGGGTTGACCAATGAATTTTTAAGAAATTTTCACCAGAAGCAGACCACCCCTAAAATGAAGAAAATGTCCCTGTCCAGAAAAGAAGCCATTTTGAAAAAACATCCCTCTGCAAAATGGCTCAAATAGTGCCACTTTTGGACCCGATTGCATTCAAATTGCTCAGAATTGGAAGCCCTGAGTCCGGCCCAGAGGTTCAGTCTCAGATTTCTTCAATTCCCCAGTTCCATGGCTCTCAGAACCCTCTAATATAGAATATTTTGAGTGTATAACTTTTATTAACGAGCTCGGCGGACATAGTATGATTTCTGGCCTAAATACGACGGTGCACCCTTGAAAAAGGACCGATATGTCTGCTGCCACCAGCGTCTCAAAGTGTCCCATTGGAGTCCATTCATATGCACGTTACCCGTGTGCTATGTCTGGCATTGGACATTATGCTAACACAAAAACAAACAAAAATTTTATAACACAACTATTATATTATTACTATACAATAAATTATACACTCTTAAAAGTAGGTGTACATTTAAGAAATCTACCATGCCTGACTGCGTAAAGAAGTGTAAGTCACGTGCTCTAAGTCGTCTCAAAATCCTCGCTGTAAAATTGAAAATTAGAATACTTATAAATTACATATGTAAATTTTTGGTACCTTAATATTTATCACTGTTACACTTGGAGACCTTAGGCTGTTGGACCATTTGTTACAACAAACTCCACCCCATCCCCATTTGCAATAAAGAGAAAAGAAAATCCTTACATTTTATGTCGGTAAAATATGTACTCCCTAACATTTTCATTTGATGAAATGCATTCTGTGCATTTGATAACGTGACACTTTTATGCTTTAAGTTTTCTTTAGAGAACTATGACAGAGCAAATGTTTAACAGCTCATGTTTTACGTTTTCTAACGACAGCTTGCCCGAAAGTAAGATTTATTCTAAATCTAGATCGCAACGTTTCCTATCTCTATCAACAGTCTCACAGGACTGTTTAGGAACTGTGCCAGTGTGAAATAATGTAGGCTCGTGTTACAAACGTCGGATATCATTTTTAAAACTATGCAAGGAACAACGCTGCTCTTGTAAAAATACCAGGCGATTCTGAATGCAAAACTCCCTAACTTGGGAAATATCCAGTGAACATAACCATGAACACATTAATGAATACATTAAAGAGATCATGTAGTGCATTACATTTACTTCAAACCTAGAAATATACCCGAGTTTCAATTAATCTCACTTTTATCTACTTTTGAAAGGTATTTGGGTGCCTTTTTGGATTTATGCTTATCCAAATTTAAATATTCATGACCAAAACTGTGATGTCAGGTAAACAAATCTTGGGCAAGTTCGGGCGCGAACTGCAGTTCAACAACTTCTTAACAGAGCCTGAAAGTAAGAGGTCACGCAGCGAGCTTCCGGAATCCTTGCGGGTCCTCCTAAAGGGGATTTCTACATGGGTCATCCTATCATATCCTATAATTTTGGGAAGAATGATTTCTAATTGAAACCACCCCAAGAAACACTCATGTCGGAATTTCCCCCTTGTCTTCCTCAAGTAATATTTAGCGAAAGTCACCTGGAGATGGGTAAAAAACGAATTTCATCAACGAACTTTTGCTTCCGGCAGTATCGTTCCTAGGTCTCCGCTCATGCTCGTTTATTTTCATTTCCCGTACTTACGTGGAAACGAGAGTGTACAAGATTTACCTTCCCTGCAGTCGATGGGTTCCAGATTCTGTTGAGTTGACGTGACACAATTCTTGTCAGCAAAGGTTAGCTTATACATCAAAATCTTTCGTAAAAGCATGTTATTGCTTTAAGTTTATTTCCTTATAAATTTCAAAATCCTTAAGATATTTAGGTTGTTTTTATTTTGGCTTTTACCCAAAAGACTACCATGATCTGTAATTCCGTAATACGGGTGATTCACAATAGTACGCCCCCAAGAGCTTGACACTTGTTGGCCAATCCCAACGCGCGACTTCTGTCGACCCTTTCCAAACGCGCTTTGGGTTGACAGATTTTGTGTATTGTGATTGGCCAACGCGTTGCAACCTCTTGGAGGCGCACTATTGTGAAATGCCCGTATAGTTCATATGCGTACGAAACCACCGAACTGCACTGTTCTCCATGTATTTTAGATTTTCAGAAGTGAAGTCTCTTTTAGGTCAGGTCATTTGTCATTTTCCATAAATTGATATGCTAGCGAATATAAGAGTAGAGTTTTTAAGAAGTAACTGAACGAAAAAATATGACAAATTCTGAAATTTCCTATCTAAGGGTTCCGGAAGTGCGCCATCAGGATTCACCTTTCAGGCTCTATTGCTTAAATATACGCAACATTAGTATGGTCACACTCGAACTAACCAAGTTTTATTTATGTGCGTTATCGTTGGTTGCAACTCTCGCTGTGTTCAGGGTTGATGAAATTCCGTACAATTATTTTCTTGTAACTGGTTCGCTTGTACTGATAAATGAAATCGGGTACTTATAACCTGTGGCATGACCAGGACCTGGTTCCAAAAAATGGTCAAAGCTATGCATTCTTTGGGCTACTTGGTCGAACTACGGTTCGAACTAGTCGTACTCGAACTTGCTCCTTAATGTTGCCAGTGCAACAAATCAGTATTTGTGCACCAAAACAAAAACTGTTGCAGTTTCAGATATTACTTTTAGCAAAATCTACTTTTCTTTAGTGATTTATATCTGTTGCAGTACATGGCAACAAGCCAACAAGCAACACTTTCCCGAAAATGCTTTTAATTAGCAGATTAATAGGCTTAACCATTTGAAAAAACCTATACTGGGAGCAAGTCTTTCCCAACTGACATCACAGCACTGCACCCTCAGTTGTATAGGAAAAAATGACAGTTTTTAATGTTTAAAAAGTCAGCGTTTCAATATACATGTATTTAATGTAAAAAGGATGTCAATTTGTTATAAATGAGTATAAAGTTGGACAGAAAGTGTCTGTAAGGAAATGTCATCACCTCAACACTTTAAACTGAGATCTTTAGGGCGTATAATTTCATACTTCTGGGGCGTATTTTCGTGACCCTTAAACCAGAAACGTTTTTGAGACGTCAAAGCAAAAAGCAGTAACATGTTCAAGCTGGCCCACAAAAACGAAGAACAGGAAACCGTGAAGTCATCTGACATTGAAAAAAAAATCAAGAAAGCAAACGATTTTCTCGACGAACGTCATTTTTACTCAATATTCGTCATATTTCTGCTGCTCTCTAAAATGTGGATGCCATTCTAAAAAATAATTTATAAAATATACATGCGACCTAAGATGTTAGAGGTCGTGTACAGACCCTTGGGTCTAACATTGGGTGTATTCCCTTATGAACATGTACAATGAAAATTCTGAAATATGAACTCAGTCTCTTTAAAGTTTTCAGCTCATGCAAATACGGGTAATTTCTGCAGCACATCCTGTCTGTTTAGACTCTTTAAAGCAGCTACCAACACGCTGACAACAGCACCCTCTCTATCCGACCATACCGTCAACATGCGGTGAACAGGTAAATCATCATCGGAAGTTTTGATGAAATGCACGATGTCTTTGTCTGAGAATCCTAGCTCATGAGCAAGTCCCCTCCAATCTCGCCTATCCAGCCGTGAGATTCCAAGTAGAGACTCCACTTCGGAACGTGTCGTTGTGGATAAATCTCGGTATAAAGTGGTACTCGGAACTGTTCGGCGTAAAATATAAAGTACTTCAACTTAAGGTCATCTAGAATAGAACTTCTATTCTATCACCTTATAAAACTATTCTTACTTACTACTGCATCCATAAGAATTTATTATTTTTATGAAAAACGCACACGTGAAATTAATGTTGCGCCCAGGACGGTTCCGAAGTATCTCCGCCTGGGGAATGAGGAGTTAGCACTCTATAAGAGCCGGGGCGGAATTCGCCCTCCCAACATTTTCCGATATCGTCGCAGTGCATGATCTTCAAGCGCCACTCTTGCGGAAATCTTTTTTACATATACACAATAACAATGACTGCAATAATTGTGTGGGGTTTTTTTTGGTTTAAATTTTGTATTTTTGTTTTGGGTTTTGTGTTTTTAGCCGAAACGAAGACACACACTAGTCAGTGCCCACTTTATGGCTAGATGCTTTTTTGACAACCCAAGAGCTGGTAAGTTTATGACAATATTTTCTGGAGTCTGTGAATACCAGATTGTCTTGCCACTGCCCGGCAATGCTCCTCTCAAGAAGTCACAGGATACATACATTGTACATTCCCATGAGCTGTCCTGTTGGTTTGTCACTTCTTAGTGACTGAATCAAACACTTTGCACAGCAGTCACGTGACAAACGTGGCTTTATATGACATGCTAATTGAACACAAGCAGTTCTTTTTACTGGGACAGATATGAAAAGGGGAACTCCGAATCAATGCTGAAGGGTAGATAGGGTCTTTCAGCAGTTGCCCAACCACTGTCAAATGGAATTGTGGGAGGGATAAGACGCCATCTTCACATAGCAGCAATGTTCATATACATGTAGTTATTGATGTGTATAACTGGGCAACTGAGCGCTGGTGACTGAGGGGCTCTGGTGAGAAAGGACGCTTGTTGGAAATTACCAGGGAGACAAATAACCCCTTTCCATCGATATGCCATTGACGGAGGCACAAGTGAATTTTAAAGAATAAATAACGTAGACCTCTGCTGAAATTGTCTGCCTGCATTTCCAGAATTTATCGGCGAATTCGAACGACCAATCCGCGGCTTTTAAGAGGCGTGCGCTCGTTTGGCACTTTACCGCCTTGTTAACAATAAAATTGGACCCATAATACGCGCACTCAGCGTACCCGTATCCGCTATTTTGGCAATTTCACGGCTCAAATTAAAGATCGGGTAAACTGTTCTGAACGAAATAACCGAACACTGTAAACAGGGTTCCTTTATTAATAGGTGAGAGTTCCTTTCAAACTGCACCTAAACCTACTTTAAGCACGACAACCACTAAATCCGGTTCGAATCCAAGAGTATACTTATAAGTAGGGCATTGTGGTGGCAAATGTATATTATATCCAAAGACATTGACACTCCCTCTTGATATACTTACCGGTCATAAGAGGCGTTTGGTCAGTCGGTTGCCTGCTTGGGGCTAAACTAGGGGGCAAATCTGCAGATTTCTTAATAGAATGCGCTCCTGCACTGGACACATCGATGTCAGCTTTAGATGGAGATCCTAAAGGTGACCTGCAGAGATCGACATAGGACATTTTACATACACAGGTTTAATTCAAGTATTATTCAAATGACCATTTGGCCTATTTGTTCTTTATACAGGAAGGTAGTAATATCATTCGTCAAATAAGTACAGTATTGGTCCGGGGATCACTTTAATACCAAACAAAAGGGCGGGGTAGTGACCATTTCCAAATATCCTTATTGGCGATAGGATCAAGTTCAATGTTACAGAAAAATTAATATCGAGGCAGATGTAAGTACATGCATGCACATGTACTTAGCCTTACCTTGTTTGCTTTGCATGAGAACGCAGCTTTACTTTTCTGAAAGACCATCTCTTGAAGATCACATAACCCAGGAGACCGATTACTACGAAAGCTAAGATGGCGCAGTAGATGGGCACAATGCTGGGAGGTCTGCTGTTTATTACGTGGGCAACGGTGTCTGGGGTTTCGCTGCTATGTTGGTATGCTGTGGTTGTTGACATCACTGTATCTGTGTCATAAGTGCAAGAAAAGGTTTTATTACACGAAGCTAGTTCGGAGAGAACCTTCATATTGTCATTTATATATTTTACTTCTTATATCGTGGACTAGTTTTTAAGCATATTTTCATATGCTCGTTAAAGTTTGTTTTATTATAAATTTGTCAGAAAATAAGAGTCTACCATGATGAAATAAAACACTTTATCACAAAAAACATAATAGCAAAAGTGTGTAAAACGTAGGCATCACACAATAAACGAACAAGGCATTAAGAACAAATCGATGCTGCCACGTTCAATCCGAAAAACTTAATCCAATCGTTAATGACAGCTGCTGTCAATTTTGTCTGAATCTTTATCGGTGGATTAACGTAACTGTCTCATCTCTTTATAATTCAAAGAAACGGGACTTTTTTATTTCTTTTTTTTTTCTTATGTGATGTCGAGGCATGGGAAATCACTGTTTGCTGCACAAAATCACTTTTTTGAAAGTAAGACAATGAATGAAATGTACGGGGAGCAGCACTGCTTCTAATTATGCAAAAACTCATTCAAATGGCAGAGGCTTGTTTAGGCCCTTTCAATCTAACCACAGAGCATAGACACATCCAACCGCTCAACAAAGTACAGCTTGAGTCACACAGCATGACAGGAATTTTGACATTAATTATTAATGGTATTAGCACCTGAGCAAACCGTGTCAGAAAACCTTGTGCACATTTCCAAGACAACAGTGCCTTCAAGGCAAGTACTGCAAGGCACACAACCCTTGGTGGCGCTCGTCAAGTCAGAGTATGTCCCATTGGCACAGGACTCGCACTCGGTGTTGTGCTGAGTGGCGCATTTAACGGTAGCACCGAATCCTGGAGGGCACGTATTACACTGGCTACAAGATCCATCTGCCGTATGGTAGTAGTTCCTCCGGCATTCACAAAGGGTATCATGGGTGATATTGCAGGAGTGCCTGACAAACTCATTTCTAGCACATCTTTTGCAGGGCATGCAGCCAGCTGTATGGCTGGGCTCGGGCGAAAAGGTTATATCGGCGTAACAGTGCATGCAGATAGTGTTGTTAAAGGCTGAGCAACGGGACTGGACGCCCCATCCAGGAGGGCATTGCAGACAACAATCACCAGTAGAAGTGGTCTCTTTGCTAGGACATTCAGGTGACGGAAGCGGAGTACACTCAGCCTGTAAAAGATTGAATCGAATAAACATTAGAAAATTTTCGTTAGATTTCATATACGTGTGACGCCCATTTGTATTTGAGTTATTTTTTTTACTAAGTGATTGGGTAACTTTATTATTAGGTGATTGGGCTTACCCAGTCACTTTCTGGAATTAATACGATTCTTGCTTTTCGTCGTCGTCCAATAATTCTCTGAGCCTTTTTTTTTCAATATGGTGGAAAGCATAAACTTGAAAGATGGTATAGGCATCATCCTGATCCCGAGGTGTATAGGTGCTGTATGATATGAGGCGCCCTTTCTTAGTACAAAAAATTAAACGAAAATAATATATATGTGACGAAACTAATATATGTAGGACGAAAGTGAAATAAATCTAAAACGAAACGAAGAAGTGCATACAGGACAAAGCTAATACATAAAGTAGGAAACCAATATATTAATAGGACAAAAGTACATTTAAAGGACGAAGGTGATTGTATATTGGACGAAAACTAATAAATATACAACAAAGCTCATATATAAACGACGAAACTAATAGAAAACGAAAATAAAATATAGGACAAAACCAATATAATTATATAGGACGAAATTAATGTATATAGAATGAAACTAATATAAATAGAACGAAACTAAAAAATATAGAATGAAACTAAAAAAATAATAGAACTAATAAAAGTAGAACGGAACATTAGAACGAAACTAATATAGAACGGAACTAATAAATATAGAACGGAATTTATAAATATAGAACGAAACTAATATAGAACGGAACTTATAAATAAGACGAAGCGCCGCCACCTCGACGCCAGACCAGTTGTGATATAGACCAAAATGTAAGAACGAAAACGTAAACATTTATAAGACTAAGCGCCATTTAGCAACCGGTCTTGCCGCGAGCGCGCGCCATTCCCGACACGGAAAGAGATACACGGACAACAGTTGATGCCCCTTTGCACAAACCATTATTTGACTTGTCTGAAAAAAACTGTTTTCTAAGTAAATGCTTCGGAATTTTCATCGCTAAATTTCACTTTTGGGATATGTAAAATCACTTTATGACGGCTGTTGTAACATTTTAAGGGAAAATTAGTGTTGTATGTAACTCTTATGGAACTCTTTCTCCGACACTTTTGATGATAATTACGGACGTCGGACGGTGGACTAGGACGTCACTTGTCGTAGAGATTTGTCAAAACGAGAGCTGTGATCCTGAACCATGGCTCGAGAGTTGAAAAATGTGAACGTATGCCCCTATGAAAAGTCGTTGACAACCTCCTCCAAACCCTGCTTTCAATGCAATGTGGCAATGGGCCTAGGCCTACTGCTACGAGTGCCAGTGTTAATAGCGTAATGCCTGACACTTACAGCGGTGCCCCTGGCACTGGAGCCCGACTGTCAACAACGTGGTCAATCACAATCGGCATGATCAGCAACCGGAAACGTAACAGTGTGGCCTAACCATGATGCGGTGCTTCTCAATGTTGTTCTGTATGGTCCTAACATTTCGGAGCATTATTGAGAAAGCTCCGCATCACTTGAAAACAATTGAAAAAGCTCTGCATCATGGTTAGGAGCGACGTCCGCGAACCAGTCGGTAAATGGCACTTCGTCTTATATATTTTACGTTTTCGTTCTATATTTTACGTTTTCGTTCTATATATTTTACATATTGGTCTATATCACAACTGGTCTGGCGTCGAGGTGGCGGCGCTTCGTCTTCTTTATTAGTTTCGTTCTACATTTGTTAGTTTAGTTCTATATTTATTTCTTTCGTTCCATATTTATTAGATTCGTCCTATATACCTTAGTTTCATCCTTTACATATTAGTTTCATCCTGTATGGCCTATATTGGAATTGCCCTACAAAGTATTGTTCGTTCTAGATTTATTAGTTTCGTCGTTTTATATGAGTTTTGTCATATATTTATTAGATTTCGTCCTATATAAAGTACCTTTGTCCTTCAAATGTAAAACTTGTCCGATATACAGATTGGTTTCGTACTTTATGTATTAATTTTGTTGTATATATACTTTTTTCGTCCATCATAAATGCTGTAAATGCCCTTGGAAAACAGTACAAAATTGAACCGGAAGGGGTTTGTGCGTGATGTGCGCACAACGGTCTGTAAGCCTATTCCATTCATTGGGTGCGTTCGATTAGCTTCCGTGAAAACACCAGTGTTACACTCAAGGGAAGCCTCAAAATGAGGCTTATCGAACGCTGCAGTGTGTTTTCCAAGGCATTCTGGGAAAAAGGTCAAGTCACCGCCACGTTCCATCAGGTACGTCCATGCACGAACAGTCCATCCGTGACGTCATTACACTCGGGCAGCCTCCAGAGACCCGCTCGCCAGCCGGGGTAGTAGTGGCTGACACCAGGGCAGGCACGAACATCACGTGATGGCTAAACGAACGCTCTCGTGTAAGTTTGACTTACACGTGTAAGCTAATCGAACGCACCCAGAAAAAGGGGGTGTTACAGTATCCAGCGTTTCCATTCTCTACAAGGATTATTGAAGAACTTGTTCTGTTTTTCAATGTGCACACCAGCCCTTTGTTTCATGGAGGTCCTGTAAAAGGATTCCTATTTCAGCTTCTCGATCCAGCTATGGATCCAGCACGCGAACGCGTTTATAATGCACACACTGCGCTGTGATGTCCTCAAATCAACACGCCTAAACCCTGCATAATAATTATTTAATTTGTAAAACTCCCGCCTTAAACACCTCACCCTCAAACTGTAGTCGTTTATTAAAAGGAAATCCTTCCCTTCAACAAGAACCTTTTTCCACAACGTTATAAAAAACGAGTGATGCGTCCCATTGAAATTTTGTCCATTGCTTTAGGCCTATAGTAAAAAAATTCTTCACGTTCGATCAAAACTTACAGCGCGTGGAGATGCAGCACGCACAACCGACCGCCGCACACAAACGCGTGTGCGGGCAACGCGTTGACAAGTTGGCACGGCGCAGTCAAAAAGGATTTGCAGGTAAATAAAATATCTCTCCCGAAGACAAGTTTCATCTCGAAAATTAACTTTTCTGATACAAGTGAAAGTCCCATATAAGAAATATATCATACAGGTTTAAACACTCCGAGTCACGGTTGAAATAAATTATCAATAAAAATTTTTGCCAGCTGTTCGTGGATCGTGGTCCATCTTTACACAGCTAAGAAACAAGGGATCTGCATGTCATCGCAGCACAATACTGAATGAGAGGACTTTGAACGTAGGGGGCGCTTGTCGCACAACACCCTTCTGTCCCTACCTGTACCTGCACTGAACAATCCCATGTGTTATTAAACTGCACGCCGAACCGCTCCACGTACGCATTGCGAGGAAGTTGGACTACACTAGGCCAATTGCCTACTTGATTTCAAATCTAGGATTTGGCAGGAGGGCAGCTATCCGCCCCGAGTTGAAGTGCACCCCCAATCCGCAAAAGAAACACAGATGGTAGTAAGTTTTCCAAGCGGGTTCTTGCAAGCGTTTATTAAGGAATAAAATCGTTACGCATGCTCAGCGTCAAACGCGCCACTGATCTCCATTATAAACGCGTGCCTATGTGGTGAGTATAAAAAACACCCCCACTTTTGTTCCGTTGCAGCTGATAGAGGCTGCTTAACGCAATGGGAACGAATTTGCTGGTACTGCACTTACTTTTAAGAGTTGCGTTCACTCGTTCCCATCGCCCGTAATGGACGCTTGGGAGGGCATAATACGCCTCCCACAAAGTTTAGTGAGAGACACTGCTCCTAACTACAGACGTGCGATGCTCTGTGCAGCAGCTGCTGTGGGGTACCGGTACTTGCTGCCCAACTTCGTGCATTTTTAGCCAGTGTGCTTTCGTGATTCGATTGTTGCGCACGTTAGACGTGTATACGTGCACGTTCGATATTGTTAAATTCAACATTGTCCAATGAATAGGCTTAAGGCCGGTTTATATTTCAGTTGAATGCGAAAACGAAGCGATTATGAGGTTATGAAAAATTTGCAGCGAAATTTCGCCCGAGTTGAAATGTGTTCAACTTTTGCGAATTCGCTACGCCAATGTTTGATCTGGCCTTCACAATTCCGTGATCGCTTTTACGCTGAGTATGAACTGGCCTTTACTCGATAAAAACTACGCCACCTTGAAATAGCGTAGTTGCCTTTCCTAGTACGGTACCCCATGAAGGCCCTTGGAAAGAGTGAAAGAGTTACGCTTGTTTGGTCATCTTGGCACTCCTTAAAAAGCACACGTAATCAAAAGACAAATCCACGGTATGTGCAATAATGTCTGGGTTTTTAGATATGCAAAACATTTGTGTGGGCAGTTTGACGTGGTGGCATACTCTGCCAGAACGCAAAATAGTTTTGTGGTTGGTGAGTACCTCATTTAAACAGCTGATGTAGTTAGTCAAACAGGCTGACAACCAGTCAAGGTTGACGATTCCTGCGCAACATGCAGGGATTTGTTTTGTTGAAGTGCTTAATTTTCACTTTTCTGTAACATGTGCATCAAATTAAATAAGACAAAAAAGGCAACTTGACACCGACTTACAGGTATAAACATGGGTATGTAATTCCATCGACACCCGTAACTTCCAATGGTCACAGTTTATTGTATATAAGGCGAGTATGTTGTACACACAGTCACAGATGTTTGGGGGCATCGTTGAAGTTTACGAGCAGAGTTCGTTCTATCCCTTGATACTCAGGGATTATGATACCTTACCAAGAATGCAACCATAGTAAATCACATCCAAAAACCAGGACTCACGGTCTACCGTACAGGTTTACACGGATTACGATGCTTAAAAGGTTAAATTGTCATTTGCACGCTTTTGCACAACAAATAAATCTCAAGATCGGAGAGTTTCTTCATGCCAGGATTTGGACATGAACGGGACAAAAGCACAAAGCAACTATTCAGTCACAAACGCATGGGTTCAGCACTATTGACTATGCCTTGAGACGATTTGGCCTTGTATACGCAGACGTTGGTTGAATGACCAGCA